AATGCCCATTGGAAATAATGGGAGTCTGGAATGCCAATTGACTTGCATGGGCTTCATTGAAATATATTACAGCTCAAGAAGAGTTGCAAAGAAAATGTGGAATGGATTTTCCATTAAGGTCTCTGGTCCCAAATACACTGCTCTGGGACTGGAATGACAGCCCCTGGGGGTAGCAGGAGTGTTCTGGGACTGGAATGACATGCCCCACAGTGGAATCACAGCCCCTGGGGGTAGCAGATGTGTTCTGAGGGTGGAATGACAGCCCCCTGAGTGGAATGACAGACTCTGGGGGTAGCAGGAGTGTTCTGGGACTGGAATAACAGCCCCTGAGGGTAGCAGAAGTATTCTGGGAGTGGAATGAGAGCCCCTGGAGATAGCATGAGTGTTCTGGGACTGGAAATGACAGCTCCAGAGTGGAATGATAACCCATGGGAGTAGAAGGAGTGTTCTGGGACTGGAATGACAGGCTCCAGAGTGGAATGACATTCCCAGGGTAGCAGGAGTGTCCTGGGAGTGGGATGACAGGACCCAGAGTGGAATGACAGCCCCTGGGGGTAGCAGATGTATTCTGGTACTGGAATGACAGGCCCCACAGTGGAATGAAAGCCCCTGGGAGTAGCAGGAGTGTCCTGGGACTGAAATGACAAGCCCCAGAGTGGAATGACAGCCAGGGGGCTGTGGGTCGTGTGGCTAAACCTGCAACTACAGATATTTCTCCCCTTCTCCCTCCAGTGCAATATTGCTGACCTTGCTCGCATGCGCCTGTGCCCTCATCGCCAGAACAGGGGTAGCAGGAGTGTCCTGGGACTGGAATGACAGGCCTTAGAGTGGAATGACAGCCCCTGGGTGTCATTCCAGTCTGGAGCCTGTCATTCCAGTCCCAGAACACTCATGCTACCCTCAGGGGCTGTCATTCCACTGTGGGGCTTGTCATTCCAGTCCCAGGAAACTCCTGCTACTCCTATGGGCTGTCATTCCACTGTGGGACCTGTCATTCCAGTACCAGAATACATCTGCTGCCCCCAGGGGCTGTCATTCCACTCTGGGGCCTGTCATTCCAAATCCAGAACACATCTGGTACCTCCAGGGCCTGTCATTCCAGTCCCTGAACAATCCTGGTACCCCCAGGGGCTGTCATTCCACTCTGGGGCCTGTCATTCCAAATCCAGAACACATCTGGTACCTCCAGGGCCTGTCATTCCAGTCCCTGAACAATCCTGGTACCCCCAGGGGCTGTCATTCCACTCTGGGGCCTGTCATTCCAAATCCAGAACACATCTGGTACCTCCAGGGCCTGTCATTCCAGTCCCTGAACAATCCTGGTACCCCCAGGGGCTGTCATTCCACTCTGGGGCCTGTCATTCCAAATCCAGAACACATCTGCATTCCTGGCTCCCATTATTTCCAATGGGCCTTTAAGTCTCTCTCATTGTTTCCAATAGGCAATCCTGTCCTTCCTTTTAGTACATCAGCTCCTTCCAGGTCTGCGATGGAGTGCACAGGCACACCTCAGCAACCTGTGCTCCGTGTGTGTGCGGGTGGGGGTGTTATAATTGCTTCATATTAGTTTTCAGTAAATTTTACTATGAAGTAATTGTTGACAGGACTACTATAGATTAATTCAGCTTTGTCTCTTTATTTAAATGTTAGGCGAATCAAAAGCACCTCGCCTTGTAACTAAGTTTGCCCCCAGGTGTGAAATTTGATTAACCGTTGTCACCTGCAGCT